CTTTCAGAAAGTACTGGTACTTTGTGGGGGTGAAGCTTGCCTTGCAGTGAATTTCTGAATTGGCATCAGTCAGGAAGATTTTACACAGACCCGAAGTCAGTCTCCTGCTCCCAAAAAAATAAAAAAACACCTGATTACAGCAGGTAATAAAGCTTGTTAAAAATCCTGTTCCTCCGACGCTCAGGCAGGCACAACCTTCCAAACTGTCACAATTTTATTTTTGTGTTGCTTTCTCTGTGCTGGAGCTATTTTAACTTGATGGCTTCATCCAGTTTGTTATTAAATTTGTAATGAACTTTATTATTTAGCCTATAGTTTTCATTATATTCCAATCAAATCTGATGTTCATTTATTATTTTTGCTTATGGACAGTGGTTACAATGCAGCCTACATCAGCTGTTTAATTTGCCTAATCTTCACAGGTCTTTAGACCATGGTGGAAATGCATACAACAATGGGCTGAAGGAACCTTTTAGTTCCTTGAAAAGAGATCTGGGGAGTGGTGGAAATGTGGCTTATGACCAATTTCCAGAAAATTGTTTTAAAACTGTATGTAAAAGTTTTTTTCCCCACATTGCATTCATATGCAAAAATATGCACACATTCTGCTGCATGCACCCCCCCCCCCCCACGCACACACACACACACACACACAGCTGTGAGGATCAATGTGACTGAGAAAGTTAGAGAAGCTCTCACAGTATCTGACCTTGATTAGACATAATGAGACTTAACCACAAGTCCGCTAATCTGATGGAATGACTTACAGATTCACCTTGTGATGAATACTAAATACAAGCATTGACTCTAGCTTTATACACAAGCTTTTGCGGGCGCAAAAACTCATACCCTTTATAGACATGTGCACTTATATGCACTCACACCCACACGTGTCCTTGGCCTGGCCCAATCAGACTTATTACTTTACTTCAAAGGGGTCTTTGATCACCTCTTTGAAAATCATCTTAATAAAAATTGTAAATAGGAGCTGGCCTGTAGTTATAGCCATACGGAAAGTTTTGTGATAAGACAAAAGTGGAAAGACTGACCTCCAGTAGTTCTGCTCTGTTCTGGTTATTGGTTATTTCTGAAATTAATGTATGAACCCCTGTGAAATACCAGTGAATTTTATAGTATATCTGGATTATACTCCTACATTAGCAGCTGACCAGTTTCAACTCCACTGTTGAACATATTGCTCATGCTGCTGGCAAAGCACCATACAACTCAGCTGATTCCTAATGAGAGGACTTCCAAACTCTGGCAACCTAGTTAGTGTGAAACACTAAACTACAGTTTTTTCAAACCAACTACAGCACAACACACTCAAGGATACAGGTTACAAGATGAAATACAAAACAAGTTTGAAGGTTCATCAAATGCGACAACACTGTACAGCGCTTTGTACTGCTTTGAGGCAGAATTTTACCACTCTGGACCGTTACCATAGCATCAACATTTAAAAGTTCTACCTTGCTGGTTGAATGTGCACTCTGTTGTGGTAAGTTAAGCCACTTTTCACCAAATAATCCACATTTTTTTTACCCCAATGGCACTCAGGCTGTGCCAACACAGTAGTCTGAATGAGAAGGTTCTGAATGAGGAATTAGCCTGTGTTGTGTTTTTGTCAATCTGAACATAGCCTTCAGAAAAGTTCAGTCTTACACATTTGGGCTGCTTTGAAAAGGCAATGGGACAACGCATCTACTTATAAAAACGACAAAATGACTGCTGAGAGTAGTTTAAGCAGCTTGAATATGGATCACCTTCACAAATAGTTTGTTACTTTCAGCAATTTGGATATTTGAGGCACAGTCTCTCCCAAAACAATCAATTTATCTTTCATGAAACTCGCCCAAGCCATACCTTAAGCCATTAGCATCTATACCTCTTTTACTCTTCTCTCTCAAACTCATATTTGAGCCATACCTTTACATAAAGTTTACATTTTATACAATTGTTTCTCAAGTTCTTTCTCACCCAGTCACTGACAAACTTTTTCAAAGACTCCCCTTTCCTTGAGTCGTTTTGGTAACTTCTGTAAACTCTTTCTTAGCATGAACAAAATTTCAAAATTGTATAAACTAAACTAAGCAAAGCTATTATATAGCATCTTAAAGCCCCTGTGTGTCAAAATATTAATTAACCTCTACTATACTAGAGCCAGTTAACAACCTCCCTGTCTCCGGTCTCTGTCATTGCCCTAATTTTGCAGTCTTTCCATGTTTTGTGTTTTACTTTGGTAGAGCTGTTCTCGTGTGTTCCCAAGTAATTTACTTCTTGTTTTATTTTGTAATCTTCTGTGCCTGTTGTTCTTGTCTAGCTTTGTTCGTGTTATTGATTACCTGATGTGTTTCAGCTGTGCTTCCCTCCCTGCTCGTTTGCCCGTGTATACTGTATATTGTCCTCAGTTGTGTTCAGTGTTTGTGATGTCCTCTTCTGTGTTGAGCGTTCTGTCCTGTATCTGCACTTGTGGATTAATCTGTGGTTTGTACCTTATTCCATTGTTTTGGATTTTTTCCCTATGGATTATGTTTTTGTTTGGAGTAACTTTTGTTTGGACTATTGCCACAGAGCTCCCAGTGTAAGACTACTTTTCTTGTTTAATAAATCTTTGTTGGACTGCAATTGCCTCGCCTCTGTCTGCATTTGGGTCCACTCCTGTTTCCTGCCGCTGCACTCTTCTGCCCATGACACTTTTAGTATCAGCCCCCTGTGAATAGTGGGTTGCCTCTGCTGATTAAGAGTCCAACAATCAGTGTTTTTTTTCATAATTGCAACCTTTTAAATAAGAGTGTAACAGGTAAGGTCTGTTTGCAGGTTTTGTTTCATTTTTCATAATTACACTAGTGTACGGTGAGAACATAAGCCTTAAAATCACGTAAGCTGATTTTGAGTATTTTGTGCTGGGAAAATGGGCTCCTAGATGCTAATGGTGATAACAATCCTCACATGCATTACTTCATGCACGGTAGTTCTTTTTCCAAGTGTCTTAAATGGATTTTATTTAACACAAAAAGCAAGGTGTTTCACAAACTGACAGGTCATTGTAGGTTTTAGCTATACTGGCTGCATTGCCTTCCACAGAAACTGCTTTGTTTCGTGCTCCATGAAAATTGTGTGGAAGAAGCAGGAATCTTGTCCAGTAATTTCCGCCCTCCATGGCCTTGATCAAAACATGTGTGAAAAAAACGAAAAAAAACCAAAAACGAATGAAAGCAATTTTCTGAGGCAATGTGCAAGAAAGAGAAGATTGACACTGCGGCTGAAGCGCAGCAAGAAGTGACAGACTGAGCAACCTTGGGAGTGCTGTATGCTAAAGGAAAGTGAAGGTCCACTAGTTTAAACTCAAATTACATGACTTTAAAAAAACACAACAATTACACCACGCTAATGAGTATACAGTGGGGAGAACAAGTATTTGATACACTGCTGATCTTGCAGGTTTTCCTACTTACAAAGCATGTAGAGGTGTATAATTTTTATGATAGGCACACTTCAACTCCAGAAAATCACATTGTATGATTTTTAAATAATTAATTTGCCATTTTATTGCATGACATAAGTATTTGATCACCTACCAACCAGTAAGAATTCCGGCTCTCGCAGACCTGTTAGTTCTTCTTTAATAATAATAATCTGTATTTGTAGAGCACTTTTCAAAGTGCTTTAACAAGTGTAAAGATAATAATACCCAAAAGACAATACAAAAACAATACAAGATAAAAGCAAGAAAACACTGAAAAGACTAAAATACACATTTAAGCTAAATATAAAATAAGTAAAATAAAAGGGATAAAATAAAGTCAAATAAGATCGGGAAAGGCTCTCCTATAAAAGTATGTTTTAAGAAGGGACTTAAGATTGGATTAAAATCCTGCAGCGCACGCAAGGTCCCCCTGCTCAAGCCAGCGCATGTCCAGGCCCGTCTGAGGTTTGCCAATGACCGTCTGGATGATCCAGAGGAGGAATGGGAGAAGGTCTGATGAGACAAAAATAGAGCTTTTTGGTCTTAACTCTACTCGCCGTGTTTGGAGGAAGGATGAGTACAACCCCAAGAACACCATCCCAACCGTGAAGCATAGAGGTGGAAACGTCATTCTTTTGGGATGCTTTTCAGCAACGGGGACAGGTCGACTGCACCATATTGAGGGGAGGATGGATGGGGCCATGTATCGCGAGATCTTGGCCAACAACCTCCTTCCCTCAGTAAGAGCATTGAAGATGGGTCGTGGCTGGGTCTTCCAGCATGACAATGACCCGAAACACACAGCCAGGGCAACTAAGGAGTGGCTCTGTAAGAAGCATCTGAAGGTCCTGGAGTGGCCTAGCCAGTCTCCAAACCTGAACCCAATAGAAAATATTTGGAGGGAGCTGAAAGTTCGCCCAGTGACAGCCCTGAAACCTGAAGGATCTGGAGAAGGTCTGTATGGAGGAGTGGGCCAAAATCCCTGCGTGTGTGTGTGTGTGTGTGTGTGAAAACCTGGTCAAGAACTACAGGAAACGTATGATCCCTGTAACTGCAAACAAAGGTTTCTGTACCAAATAATTTCTGCTTTTCTGATGTAACAAATACTTATGTCATGTAATAAAATGCAAATTATTTAAAAATCATACAATGCGATTTTTCTGGATTTGTTTTAGATTCCGTCTCTCACAGTTGAAGTGTACCTAAGATTAAAAATTAAAGACTTCTACATGCTTTGTAAGTAGGAAAACCTGCCTATACTTGTTTTCCCCTATTTAAGAAAATGCGTTTTTTTTTTTTTTTGTAGACTTGCAATTCATTAAAAATGCACGCATGCATGAATGAACATGTACCGATACAAACACACACACTTACACTAGTCGCTGCTAACACATTTGAGACATGTCAAAGGTGTATGTGGATCCAGACCCACCTGGCTGTGTGTTCATGGCCTTCCCTCTGTCTGTGTTTGTATGTTTGTCTTTGTGGTTGTGTTTGTCTGTCGGTCAGTGTATTCTGTACAGCTACTTACTGCAAATTGCATCAGCCTCGTCCGAACCGTCTGCACACTCTGGTTCCCCATCACAGCGCCACCTTGCAGGAACACACTGTCCATTCTTACAGGCAAAGTCTGTGGTCGCACAGGTCTTCTTTGCTGTGGAGACAAAGGTAACATGCACTATTACTGTATGACTCAAAGACAAAGAAGAAAGCAGTATTGTTCTCAAATATTTTATTAGATATTTAATGGGAAAAATTCTCTGGAGCACAGAAAGTAATGTCTGAATAGAGATAGAAAACAACTCTATAAACTGGACACACTGATGACAGGTGATAATATAGACAAACATTTTAAAGTATTAAGTGGTAAGTTAACGTGTCAAAAGTTGGATAATCCACTTAACGACGCTAGGCAAGAAACATTTAGTTTAATCATCAGCAGGTAATGTTTTGATGCAGTTGGTTGCAGGCTGGAGTCTTGGTGGTGTGTTCAAGTACAACATGTAACAGGAGGCATAAGGGGACAATAGACATTTGACTAGCGAGCCTTCGATGGTATCTGTTTGAAGTTGTTCTAGTGAATCAGTTGATCACATGAGTCTGTCTGAAAGTGTTTTGGCCACACCGAGTTGCACCCGTGTGTGTGTGTGTGCGCGTATGCATCAGATTGTATGCAACATTTTTTTTTTCCCACTTCCAGTCTCCCGATGAATCTATACTGATGTTATATATTTTGCAATATATTGTTTAAATTATTTTCATGGAGGACCAAACTGATTTGTTACACACTTTTAGTGTTACAGGTAGGTACATTTACTCATGAAATATTAACAGTAAGAAGTTAAGCATAGAGTTGGTTTCAGTATAGCAACATATCACATTTGACAAACTGGAACAGATTTAAAGTATTATCTGAACGATTGCTGAGTGGTTTGCTTTTAGGCAGAGGGAATGAGCAGTGCATTGCCAGCTTTAAAAGAACCCCTTTTTGCGAGAGTGTGTTGGCTATTAGTTGCCTGTCTGAACTGGCTCAGAGGTTTTGCCCCATTTTAACCATCCCATGATCCGCCTTCATAGTCCAGCCCAGTCTCTACAGAACCGGCTCTGGCTGTGTCTCGCAGTTTCCTGATACCCTATGGACTCAAAAGGTTTTGTGCAGTCACGTTCTCCAAGCAAGGGGAAAATTGAAGCACTTGAGTCTGTCATGGGGAGAGGCAAAAAAATCCTTCTCTTTTGACAGTGAGAGCCACTGAACACGAGAAAGCACTTGCTAGGCGTATTAGCAATGCCTCGCCTCACCATGATGAAATATACTGTACAGAGAGGGGGGTGGACAAACGGCAAGAAAGTGTGTCAGTAACCGTGTGTGTATGTGTGTGTTTTTGGTGGTGGTGTTTGTGTCGTGGTCAATTTCTGCTGATAAGTAGAGACGGTAACTGCTACTGTTCCATTTTCCTTCACGTGAGACTGGTGTTAAAGTGCTAGCCAAAGCAGTGAATGGGTGATTATACTACACGAATACTAAGCCAGAGACGTTTTATAGAGGAGACACGCCACTCAATTACATCCTCAATACAACTCTATGGGGAAAGCCCGTAACAGCAAAGATGGCGGTTATCCCACCCCTCCTACTAGAAAGCTAATTGTCTGCTTTTAACAGCCAAAGCAGGAAACATTTCAGCCAATCATGTGATTCCACTGACGTAAGGGTCTGTTTTACTTTGATTGCACATGCAATAAGTTCAATTTCTCTACCACGCCTGTTCTCAATCAAGAAATCACTTAAATAGGACCTGACTGGCAAAGTGAAGTAGGTCAAAAGATCCTCAAAAGCTAGACGTCATGCAGTTATCCAAAGAAATTCAGGAACAAATGAAAAACAGAGTAAGTGAGATTTATCAGTCTGGAAAAGATTATAAAGCCATTTCAAAAGCTTTGGGGAATCCAGCACACCACAGTGAGAGCCAATATCCACAGATGGCTAAAACATGGAACAGTGGTGAACATTCCCAGGAGTGGCCGGCTGACCAAATTTACCCCAAGAGCGCAGTGACGATTCATCCAAGAGGTCACAAAAAAAACCCACAACAACATCCAAAGAACTGCAGGCTTCACTGGCCTCAGTTAAGGTCAGTGTTCATGACTCCACCATAAGAACGAGACTAGCCTGCATGGCAGAGTTCCAAGACGAAAACCACTGCTGAGCAAAAAGAACATAAACTTGTCTCAGTTGCATTTTGTGTTTTACTTTGTCTAATATTTGAATTTGTTTGTTCTGAAACATTTCAGTGTGACAAAAATCAGGAAGGGGGCAAACACTTTTTCACACCACTGTATCTGCCCGGAGGCATTGCCAAGAGGGCTGCTGAGTGGCATGACTGGCCTGTAAGGACTTTGCTAAAGCTCACTATCCTTCAATCACCTGTGATTACATCATTTAAAGCTACAGTGTGGGATGGTCTTAAAAGACGGAAAAAATAAACCAAGAAAGAGACTAAATAGTCTATCAGTTTATGTGACCAAAGATAACAGCCTGATTATCTGAAATGATGTGTCACCGGTAACCGGGCTCCTAATTAAGCAGCAAAATAATTTACAATTTCAAACCAATAATGAAAATGGACGCAATTAACATTTAAAGGAAGTTTGACATTTCAGAAAATATGCTTATTTGCTTTTGCTCATGTCTGTATGTTAAATGTTAGCTTGAAGAAATGATTATTGCATATTTGTTTACAGTCACAAGTTTCAACTATTAATACCAGGTTCAAACTTTTACAATATGAGTGGTTAATGAGAGTTTACAAAGCAAACTGTAGGGAATATATACTCATGTGATAAGATTTGTATGTGCAGTTCAATATGAAATCAACCCCTATGGTTAGTGTCACATGCTTTGCTTTTAAAATATTCTAGCATAACAGCATTGGGGCATTGTTTCAAACTTAAAACTGTAAGGAATTGGTCCAACCCTGGCACTGTGTTAAATTCATTCCTACTCAGCAAGGGAAAAGCTTGCCAGCTTATTATCTTGTTGTTTATGTGTACAATAAAAGGAAGTGTTATGTCTGAGGGTATAAGTGGGAACCATAATAACAAAGTACATGCTAGAGGAACTGACAGCATCTCAGCTGTGGGGACCAAGGTTATTATTACCAAAGACGAACAAAATAACGAAAACTAGATGTGAAAAAACATTGTCGTTAACTGAAATAAAAATGAGTCTCTATAATTAAAATAACTAAAACTATATCGTAGGTTTGCAAAAATAACTAAAATAAACGACAATGAAAGAGTAAATGTCCTTAGTTTGCGTTAATTTATTTTATAGGACCTAATAAGCCTACATTTCGAGTGGATATGAAGCCAGAGGAACTGACGTTGCGGGGCCAGCAGTTTAGCGGTGCACGCGGTGATTAGTCGATAGGCACTTGTTGGTAAGCCGTGGGTGTATTATGATTTTGTCCTCCGCAAGAAGCGCTGGGTACGCTGCGTGTCATTTGGCTGTCCTGCCATCATTGCTTTATCTGTCAAGAGAGCACGGGGTCAGAAGAAGATACCATTTTATTGTCACATACATGTTGTGAAATTCATTCTCTGCATTTAACCCATCAAGGGAGCAGTGGGCAGCCACAATGCAGCGCCCGGGGACCAACTCCAGATTTATACATCAGTGTCTAGTCAATGGCACTGACTGGAGTACCTAACATGTTTTTGATGGTGGGGGAGCACCCGGAGGAAACCCACGCAGACATGGGGAGAACATGCCAACTCTACATAGAAAGGCCGGGACAACCCGACCCCGGTTTTGAACCCGCAACCTTCTTACTGTGAGGCCACAGTGCTATCCACTGGACCACCGTGGTGGTGAGGGCGGCATCTGGACGCAGCGTAGCAGGAGTCGACCGCTGTTACGAGGAGAGCCCCATGTAACATTAGGGGTAGGTTATCGGGGAGACCCTGGTAGGGATCGGCTGCGTAGTTGGTGGGATTTGAACATGTTTTCTATTATCTTTTATACATACATGTGTACAAAATAATATGAATGAATATGGATTATTTTCCTTGTTTTGTTCTGATGGTCTGGCTTAGTACTCATCCTGCATGTAGGATAAACTTGCCCCATACCCATTGATTGTGAGCTCCCCTTGCACTGAGTTAACGTGTCTGCTGGTCATTATATTTTCTGAATGTCACATGATTTAGGGTAGTTTGCTCTTAGGGTTTTCTGTATGTAGGTTAGGAATTATACTGTAGATTGCATGTGCTTCATTTATTTGTAGTATTTATTTAGACAAAGTGTTAGTACTTTGTGTGTATATACATGCTTCAGATTAACAAGATTAACATCTTAAAAACTATAATAACCTTGGTGGGACTAATGCTTTCAATATCTAAATGTATCGTACCAATGTACGGCAGATTGAAGAAAAGACATCCACACATCACCACTGCAGAGTATTGATTCTAAGTTAAGAGAAAAGAAAAAAGGGGGGTCTTAAAGACACAAGAGAGATGAAATTGAAGAAGGTGTAAGCCTAGAATAAATGAAAAGCGTGTCCCTAGGGATCATGGAGTAGTTGGAGTCAGAGACAAAGGTAAATAGAAAGAGTTGAGAGAACAGGAAATAGGGGTACCTAAAATGAAAGACAAAAGGAAAAGAGGCTGTTGAGGTGGGATCTAGTGCAATGTAATCAGTCTCCACAAAGAACTGAATAAATCCTTTTCCTCCCTACCAGCATGTTAGTATAAATCCCATCTCTTCCTGTCTCACACCCCTCTTTTTTTCATTTTTCCCTCCATCTCTGCCTACAGCCTGATAACAGAGCCAGCTGTAGCCACACACATGCAGTGGGCAGTATAATTCACAATACTACAGTAGATCACAACAAAGCTGATATCAGACATCCACAAATCTAGGTTATCCTTCACTTTCATATCATATCTTCTATCACTGGTCAGCATAATCCTCTCCAAAAGCAGTGTGCTTAAATCAGTTGATGATGCAAAATGGTGCAGATGACAGACAGGCTTACAACATATCACACACAGAAGAATAAATTAAGATGCAGAAGCCCGCAAATGTCAGCCTATCAATGTCCTACAACTAGGGTTGCACCAACTGTTCGGCCACGTTAATTAATCGGCCGGAAA